AGAGAGCCCAATACCTCTTAAATAAGGAATATACCTCAAACTCAGAATATTAAGGCCCCTATAATTTAAGCTAGATTCCTAAGTTAAGGGGTCTTGGCCAACATGTTCGACCTGAACTCCCAGCCCCTCCAAGCAAAGGGGACTCAAGAGTCCGCCCCCAAAAAGTTGTGAAATGGTTCTGGTGATGGGACTTTCAAGAAACAAGGGAACCCTAGTAACCTAGTACATAGAAGGGTTTAGGGTTGAGGGTTTAGGGATTATATAGAGACACCTCAAAGGCAACCTCTATCTAAGAGAAGGCATGTTGCTCTGTGTGTCAGTCTCAGCCAGTGTGGAGTTTCATGTCCCCTAAGCCCTAAGCCTTACACGTTCAATTTGGGATCTCACGCGGACACAGGATCTCAGCTTACTCTAAGGGCTGAAACAGGGCATCCAAACACGTAGTAATCAGAGGTTGCCGTGCCTCAAAATGGATGTCGTGGGTCAACGTTACGGGACGTTGTTCAATTTTGTTCAATCTATGTGTTTCTGAATACGAATCCAAAGCATGACTAGCCCAAACTCAAGTACCTGATCCTTGCGAAGTCGGTGCCTGACGGATAATCGCCATCGGAATAAAGCCGTGTTTGCTAGGACATTTTCAGGTGGGTAGTTACCGTTATAGGAGCCTTATAGAAGGTCTATGTACCTTATAGAAGCCTTATGGAAGGTCTATATACCCTAAACTCCCCACCTGTAGTTTCCTTCCCAGACCACCGGAAGGATCTAAAAAGTAGATCCCCTAATTTGGGACCCTAACTACTAGAGGGTACTTTATAGGAACCCCATTGGGGGATCTATTTTTTAGATCCTCCCGGTGGTCTGGGTTTAGTGTATGTCGGCCTCAGAGTCTCAGAGTCTGAGATTCGTGTTGGCTAGGTTCCCCAGTAGTGCCCTTTTGCCCGTTTCCTTTTTGCCCTCCCTTATTAAAGCCAAATAGTAGGAAAAAAGGGTACCCTTATTGTTAAGGGGCTACTGGGGAACCTAGTTGGCCATTGCTGATCCGTGACAAAGTGCCGTACTCTGCTGGTGAAACACCTCGGGTTTAGATGCAGGTCAGCTAGGAGGCCATGCATGCACTGGATGTCCCGAAGCTTTAGAAGCTTAGGGCTTATGTAGGGTGTAGGGCCTATATCCCAAAGCATTGACATGATTTGTTGTGTCGTACTGAAGTTTAAATCGGATGATCTTGGCACACCCTTTGAATACCATACAAGCCTGACTAAAGTGCCCATAGCATTGCTAAGGCTGATGATTAATACTTTTGTAAGTATACCAAAAATATACCAAAGCCCTATTCTAGTTGGTAAGGCCCCTACATTACTTCATCGGCTTGCCCAGGCACGGCGTGCAAGAACGACAAGTTTCTCAACCCAGATGGTGTGTGCCGACGACTCAGAAAGATCCGGAAGCCGTTTCTTTTCACCAATACCGCACCTGTCGCCCCCAAGACCCTACCTTCTACTATAAAGAAAAGGTAGGGTTTCTTCGGCTACAAGCCATCACAGATAGACCCCGAAACCCTGCCCTACACCACACAGTGTAATAGCTGTATGTACTGGTACATACCTCCTGCGCTTCAGGTAGGAGACAGTCAGGGACGCTTGGTGTTCTCGGTTTTCGAATTGATGCAGGGTTTAGGCGTGGTTTGGAGCACATGCAACCCACAGCAGCATTGAAAGCCGTCCAAATTGCTTGCTATGGTTGAATCACCTGTCTAGACTCCTGAAATCAAAGTCGTTCGTAAGCGAAACCTTCCAACCAAAGATCCATAGCTTGATTGATTTAGGATTCCAGCTTGTTGGAAGCTACCTCAAAACCTTGAGAATTGTTTGCCAGTGACCGGATGTTTGGTTTGGATCCTTGAAGACTCAGTAACATAGATGCCTAAATGACCAGGACTTGTGTTTCCTTCCTTGATATAGTTCTACTATGATATACACCGAAACCCTATTCTTAATATTCAGTCTTCGAGAACATTTACCAGAGATCAGGTCGCGACATTTGCCCAGATGGCTACTGGCAGTTGCCAGTGTGGGGTGGCGTGGGCAACTCCTGCCCACTCTGTGCCCCGGCGTGCATTTTGGATGGACTCAGTGAACCTACAAGGTTGCATTAAGAAACAGAGCTGAAACGTCTTTAAGAAGCTGGCTAGTTGGGCTGAGATCGGCTCGTCATGGCTTGTACACTCTTTTCGATGGCTCAAAAAGCGATTTCAACTACAGAAATTTATGAGAATTGTTCATGAAGTTTGGGCTTCAGGCTGATGCTCCAGAAAACTAAGGGACCCCAATCCTAAGGTACACGCCGAATAGTAGGGGTTGGGGTAAAGTTGATGGTTTAGGGGAAGATTTTCCCTGAAGAGTAAGCTCCTCGCTATAGGGACTTTTAAACTTGGTTGTCTTCGGGTTGGCCTTTTCGACTTCTTATCGTTTCCTTATTGACTGTTAAGGGTTTCGGGTTTCGGGTTTTGGTTTAGGGTTCAGGGGTTATTGATTATCACGCGCAGGCCAAACGGTTATCTTCCAAGGAGAGAAGTCAGCCAAACATCTACTTGCCAAGCCCCAGGGACTCCAACGCCTTCTTCCTAAAACCCCCAAGCCTTAAACTCTGTAGACTCTACGTCCTCTATAAGCCCCAAACCCTAAAAACTATAAGCCCTCAACTCTCCTGATGAAGCGAAAGCCTCTTGACTAGCGCGACGAAAGGTGCGGAGAACTGCAGTTTGTGCACCAGTCCGACAGTTTGCCAGGAGTAGAGGGCGTTAGGGGTTGGGCTCTTATGTTTCTCTTTTGTTCTCAGTGTCTTGTGAGTTGCGAGTTGAGGCTTTTGAATTATAAGGTCCTGTATACTAAAGAACGGACATCTAGAAAATTCGTAGAATGGCTGCAAACTGGATGTGTGAAGCGAACGTCCATTTCAGTCGTATTGCAGAAATGGAGTGTTAGTTGAATGTGGGGAATGCATCCATTTTTTTGAGAAGCTGTCAGCGAACATGCACTCTGCAGCCATTGCCTGATCATTCGGCCACAGACATGACATCGGGTAGCGATGATGAGTGGGAGGCTTGGCTTGCAAGCCGGGAGAGCGTCAGTGCTGCTTCCAGTGGATCTGATGCTTGGGCGGCTTTCGCTCAGAACCTTCTCCGTAGCAGCCAGGACTCGCAGGAGTTGGATCAGGACGCGGAAGATATCCGCTCCGTGTCGGCTGAGTACACCTCAGAGTCGCAGTGCTCCCTTCGAGGTCCGTTGAGCAAGCCTGCAAACCAGAACATGCGGTGCACTTTGTGGTGGGCACAATGGCTGAAGAGACATACAGCTCATGTACCCATGAATGGCATGCCTGCAGCCTTGCAGACAAAGAATGTCATGTCAGCTTGTTCGGGAATCTTTTCTGAAGGCGAAGTCCTACGAGCTTTCCGGCTCATTATTGCACTCGTTGTCGTTGTCCATGTTGCAAGGGTTTAAGGCTGTTGGGGCGAGTGAGAGGTCTCCAGGCTGAAACCGCGGTTGGTGTGGCACAACTTCTACACAGTACAGGCTACGGCAGTTACTCGCAATTGCACTCAGGGCCATGGCGACTAGAATCTAGAATGTCTTTTGAACAACAACCGGCATGATTCGGACATTCTGTATCTTCGCACACCAGGGCGAGGGCTGTTGGAGGTAGTGGCTGCTCACGTGGTACAGCTGGCAGCTAGCAGGGTCATGACATCTTTGTTTTACACATAGGTGGTTAGTGAAGGATTATATGTGGTGGTGAGCTTCGCTTGTACAGGGTATGCTGACATGTGTGACCTTTGTAACATCTAGAATATAAAAATCTAGACTCGTTTTCGCTGGTGTTTAGAAATCTTCAGATTGCCTTCTACTTTCTGAGTTCTGTTCCTGGTCGTAGTTGACGCTTGCTCGTGCTGGGTAGCAGAGCGTCGCTGTGAGTCTGTAAGGCTCTTGGCATTCCCTTCCAATGCCTGGGTGCAGCCGAGAAGTGCGCAGCATACCGTGCCATCATCATGGCCAACAATGGCCAGCTTATCCAGCACTTGTACGAGGATGTAGAGGATATGCTGCAGGATGCTCCCTGTGGCATCCACAAGGAGACTGGCCGCTGTCTGTGTGCGGCTCCAGAGGTCGATGTCCATCTTGCTGTGACGGGATCACCTTGCAACCCATTTAGCAGGCTACGTGCCAAGAGGTTCCAGTCCGGTGACGTCAACTGTCACTCCATGACCAGCACCACCATGGAGTCAGTTGTAGCATTCTACAGAAAATTCGAGCCTCACCTCGGAATCAGCGAACAGGTCCGAGGCTTTTGCCAGAAGACCAGTGTCTCGGACCTCGTGACACCCTACCAGAGGCTGGATTGCAATCTGTGTCGTCAGTGTAGTGCATGACCGTATCTTGCGAACTGTCAACTTTGATGATCCTCCGCATTTCCTTCCTGGCTAGTTGAATACTCAGCGGATTGGACGAGGGCCACGTGGTTTTACCGACCGGTGCACCAGGCGTTTTAGAAGCCAAGTGGCCAAGTGTTGACTGTTGAGCCTGTCCAGAGTCAAGATAGGGTGCTGTTGTATATAGGGTCAGGACTGCAGCCATGCCAACAGGAAACTTGGTACCTGGAATGCACTAGCAGCTAGCAGGAACGGTTTGGGAGCAACATGAACGATTGCTGCTTTTCCTTTGCTGAGCAAACCAAGTACAGCAGTCACTGCCAGGTTCGTATCCACGATGGGTGCACAGCCTTTCCGTCACGGGTACTGGCTGGCGACTGTGGAGCTGGATGCCGCCATTTGGCTGCGCGTGAGTAGACCGAGGCCAGCAGGGCATGTTGACTTGGCTTGCCAGTGTCCGTCAGAGAGGGGCCGAGTAACCGCAGTAGCCACCAGCAACACTGGTTGTGCGAGTGTGTGTCGTGCGCACACATGCTCCTGCTCCTGCTTGCGATTCGCACGATTCCGAGAGGGCTAAGGCTGCAAAGGGCTCAAGAACCGTGAGGACTGCGTCATGTGATTGCGCAGGAGTGTCCTGAGGGTATAGCATAGCAGCGTATAGCAGTATAGCAGTATAGCAGGTCGCTGCAGAGCTTGGTGTAGTCAGCTTATAGTAGAGCTTGGCAGGTTTGGCACAGCGACATAGCTCTCCTGCATCTCGTCTTACCTGGTATGGTAGCAGTAGTCGATGGATCCTTGTTTCGGTGAGCCGTAGCTCCATGGACGAACATGATGCCGATTTGGAATGGGATACGTGGTTGCAGCAGCCACGCAGCGTACCTAGTCCTGGTCATGAGCCTGAAGCAGGCTTAGAAGTGGATGAGGGCAGCGATGAGGAGTGGGAAGCTTTGATAGGAGCACCAGGTCCCGTCGCTCCTGCTCCAGTCCTGTTGGCTGCTCCATGCGAAGCCAGCGCTGACCGCGAGATGGCTTGCGGCCAGGAACTGTACGGTCGACTCTCCGTGCTAAAGTGTTTGGGCTCAGCTGTGCACCAACAAATCTTCCGTGGCTTTTGCGATTCCATTCCAAGAGGCGGAGGCCAAGCAGTATCTGAATACAGGAAACAAAAGCAGAAGGAATATGACAGTGTGGCAGACAGCTACGTCTTGCAACACACCTACAAGAGCAACCGCGACATGTCCGCTGATCTGAAAGTTGCCCGCACGTCTGCTATGCGATACTTGCTGGAGCATGCCTGCGCTCTGCTTTATGGAACCACTTTCCTGCTGGGCAGTCTTCTCCGCTGCTTCCTGGGCATGTTTGAGAACACTACGCTGCGGCCTGTTCTTCTCGTCGTCAAGGTCAAATACGATGAAACGCCGCTGAAGATGAAGGTTCATGAAGCCCAGAAATTCCTGGGCCCTGATTCTGCAGATGCAATGCATCCGTCCAGACCTGGTCCTTCCACATCGAACCAGCTGAAAGATGACAAAAACGCGGATGCCTATACTCACGCAAAGATCTTTTGCGCTGAATGGACACTTGGATGGGCCGGGGGGTTGC